TGGGGAACTGAAATTGTGTCAGGGTCGCAATAAACCTGGCCGAGGGGCCTTTGTATCTTAGTAGACTCTGTGGTTATTGGGGATTCTCGTCGGGTCTGCTGTGTCAGCTATCTGCGCAGAGCTGGGGCAGCACACAGAGGGAACACAAGCACGCAGCCGAGTGATATCAACAGGAGAAAGCAGAAGCACCACACCGGTAGCCTCTCACAACAGGTACCACCAGGAAGAAAAAATGTGGGGTAGACAGAAGGGAAAGTTGCTAAGAGCTGGATATGATGTTGCACTCCATAATGCTTTATAAAAATGTTTATAAGTGTGAATATGATGTAACTGGAATATGCTTTTTGCAAAAGGTCTCTTGTAAAGTATCATTACAAAGCTTCAGAGTGATAGCCATGTTAGTCTGGATCTGTAAAAAGCGATAGAGTCCTGTGGCACCTTATAGACTAACAGCCGTATTGGAGCATAAGCTTTTGTGGGTGAATACGCACTTTGTCAGATGCAAAGCTTATAATCTATTGAATGTGTTCATCCTATTTGTAAGTATGTATCATTCTTATATCTAAAACTAGAAATATGAAGTATAACTCTGAAGTCCTATTGTAATTATGCAAAGTGTGGGCCATTAATGGTGGCTTGGAATCTTGATGGCTCCCATTAACTAGAACAATTGTCTGTAGATGAGTCTGTTTACCTGCAAGCCTCCACTGCCTATGTAGGGGCCAGTCCTGAAAGAATGGAGGGGGGCTCACAGGACATGTGAACATGTCACATGACACTGAAATCCATCTTTAACCTATTGCTTTTCCACTTAGAAGGAGGGGTGGGAACCCAGAGAGAGCCAAAGGATTCCTGCCTTGTGTCAAAGATATAAAAGGGGGTGGAAGAGAACAAAGGGGGGTTCCAGACATGTAGAATCCCATGCTTTTCACCTAAGATGCCTGCTGGAACTAACAAGGTCTGTACCAGGGGAAAGGATTGGTCCCAGACTAGGAAGGAATCTAGTCTGTGAAAGAAGCTTATTGGAACATCTCTGAGGGTGAGAGGGGTAGCTCAGTGGTTTGAGCATTGGCCTGCTAAACCAGGGTTGTATGCTCAATCCTTGAGGGGGTCACTTAGGGATCTGGGGCAAAATCAGTACTTGGTCCTGCTAGTGAAGGCAGGGGGCTGGACTCAATGACCTTTCAGGGTCCCTTCCAGTTTTATGAGATAGGTACATCTCCATATAAAAACTTCATCTGTAATCAGTTTCTTCATGTATTAGGCTTAGACCTGGGTGTTTTGTTTCATTTTGCTTGGTAACTTACTTTGTTCTGTCTGTTATTACTTGAAACCACTTAAATCCTACCTTTTATACTTTTCTTTATTAATTAATCCAGAGTAAATGATTAATACCTGGTGGAACAAACAGCTGTGCATATCTTTGTGTTGTAGAGGGTGGACAATTTATGTATAAGCTTTATACAGAGTAAAATGGATTTATTCGGGGCTTGGATCCCAGTGGGAGTTGGGTGTCTGGGTGGTGGAGACAGGAGTACTTGTTAAGCCGTTTTCAGTTAAGTCTGCCACTTTGGGTGTGGACCAGACCTGGGTCTGTGTTTGCAGCTGGCTAGCGTGTCTGGCTCAACAAGGCAGGGTTCTGGAGTCCCAAAGTGACAGAGAAAACAGGCTCAGAGGTAATCTCAGCACATCAAGTGACAGTGCCAACGGGGTCTCTGTGACCAAACCCATCACAGATGCTCCCTCTACATTTCCACACCACCATGCCCTTTGGTCTCCCCTATTCCCTTGCCTAGAATAGCGATCCCACATTTACTCTCATGCTGCTGCTCTAGGGTCACCACGCTCCAGGGTGGTTGATGGGCAGGGGGCCTCTGGGTTGCAGGGTAATGAGCTGAAAGTGGAAAGGGGTCTCAGGAAGGCAGAAAGGGGCTGTGGGCCGGTTGGAGGAAGGAGCTGGCTATGTTTGAGGGGAGCTTGGGAGAAGGGATGGGCCATGTCTGGGGATAGGAGAGCTGAAGGGAGCTCCAGGGGCAGCTGGCTGAGTGTGACTGAGGGGAGCTCTGGTGGGGACTGGGTGTGACATGGGGAACACTGGGAGGGAAAGCTGGGTGTGACTAAGGGGAGCTGTGGGGGGGTGGGTGGGCTGGGTGCGACTGCAGGGAGCTCTGGAGGAGCAGGCTGGGTGTGACTGAAGGGAGCTCCAGGGACAACGGGAGGGGGCGCGCTGGGTGTGATTGAGGGGAAGTCTGGGGGCGGGGGCTGGGTATGACTGAGAGGAGCTCCGGGGAGAGCAAGGAGGGAGGGCTGAGTACGACTGAGGGGACGTGTTGGGGGGGGCAGGCTGGGTGTGACTGAGGGGAGCGCTGGGGAAAGCGGGATGGGGGGAGCTGGGTGCGACTGAAGGGAGCTTGGGAGAGGCAGGCTGGGTGTGACTGAGAGGATCTCCGGTGGGGGGCAGGCTGTGTGTGACTGAGGGGTGCTCCAGGGACAACAGGAGCTCCAGCGGGGCTGGGTGTGACTGAGGGGATGTGCTGGGGGGGCAGGCTGGGTGTGACTGAGGGGA